GCTAATACTTCCCTTGTGTCTTTGGTGTTCTTCATTCTCCTTAACTCCAGGTGAGTTGGGACAAATTGATGCATCTTAGATGGCCGTTTGCTAGCTTTTAAGACCCCAAATGCCACTCACCAAAGCGGGATGCAGAACTGTTTCTTAATAAGCTTTGTTATGCCAATTGACCTAGATGTCCCCTGAAAGCATGGTCCCCAGACCCCTACCCCTGCTACTCTGTCCCTTGAAGTGTTTGATTGTATTCAGGAAACTTCTTAGCTTTGGTTTAGTCCAGTTGTGCTGACTTCCCCTGTAGTGTGTGCTGTCTTTCCCTTCACCTAAGATAATTCTCATCTACTATCTAGTTAGTAAATAACCCTCGCCCTCCCTCCCCACCCTCATAACCATCAAAGAATGTTTTCTCCTGTGTTTAAACCTTTTCTTGAGTTCTTATAATAGTGGTCTTATATAATATATTTCTTTCTATTACTGACTAAATTCACTCAGCATAAAGCCCTCCAAATTCCTCCATGTTATAAGATTAAACATTGTCTTTTTTTAATCACACCGCCTTTTGCTACCTGAAAGATATATCATATCATCTCATAATATCTGTACTGAGTATTCTTTGAAGTATTTCAGGAATCTATTATATTTTAATAGCTGTTATTTGTAGCCTAAGACATTAAATTGCCTGACTTAGAGAATTCTTTACACATACTATAACTCACCCATTTATTATGTACCAAGGAACTCCTGTTAATGCAGTTCAACTTTAGTCTGTGACAGTGGTGTTTTGTGTGTGTGATTTTTGGGGGCGAGGAGGGATCTTTTTTTGTTGCTGTTGTTTTAGCTGTGTGAATTTCTCTTTAGCTCCCCAACTGTTTAATCATTTTATCAGGTATATGCCCTTTTGAAAAGTTATAACAATTTAAACATATTTTAAGGTTATGAAAAGAAAGAATTTCAAAACTCTTAATCTTTTTCCCCAGTAACACTGCCTTACTGGAAGAAGAACTGAAGAAACTCATTGAAGCTCTGATTGAGAATTTTCTGGAGCCCAGTAAGAATGGACTGATCTGGCGTTCTGTTTAGGTGTACACCAGTACATCTCATTACTTTGCACTGGCATATGAAACAGAACAACCAAGAACTCTGTGCATTGAACCTTGTGTTAGCACTCTGTCTCTCTCATTGGGCCAAGTATTTTTTCCCTTTTTGTTAAACTAAACACACTGTATAAATGTGAAATGAAATGGTCTGGGTGGAAATGACTCAAATTTTTTCATAATCTTGAACAAGATTACATTACATTAAAAGTATTGTAGTAATACGTCATTCTTCCTTTAACAGAAACATAACAATATAAAAGCGAGTTTTCTTGTTAAAGTCCGATTAAGCTTAGTTCCATATTCTTGTAGTTGTGTATAGCATGGTTTTAAAAAAAAGCAGGTAAATGTTATATAATTGTAGAGTTAGTTAAATAAAGTCAGTGAGAAAATGGCACCGCTCCCAGACCACTGTAGTAAAGTGTCATTGTTATATCACAGGTATTAATGTACAAATTAGAGTATTTAAAATAGAATATTTAGAATTTCTCATTTAGAACAGATATTACAATATGTGGTTTCAGCAGCTCTGTTTCAGGTGCACTTGGTTCAGTATGTATGTATCTATTTACAATTCTGACGTTTATTGAACATAAAAAAATAGTGGCAACACTCCTAGTGACTTGGTTCTTGTCAAATTTCTTAGTGCCTTCCCAGGGGTCTGATATGAACTGAAACAATGTTCCTGCATTGGATATAATTTAATTAGTTAATTTTTGACCAGTTAAGGAAAATCTTCCAAACTACATAGGTGCCTACCCTCTATATCAAAGGTTCACTTATTTAAAAAAGTTTAATGTAAATCAAGATCTTAATAAAAGCAGACTTAATGTAACCTTAATTAGGGGTCTTCATGTAAAAATTAACTGTCAATTATCATAACCTTTAAGTAAAGAAAAAAATCTGAACTGAGAAAGGAGCTCTGAATTTATATAGAAGTCCAACTTTTGACTTATATTTTTTAAGTAGCTTTATTTCTTTATCTGATGAAGTAATGATAACTTTACTAAAAAAATAAAACATCCAGATTTAAGCATTATGAAACACTACCTGTTTTAAAACTAAGGTCCAGTTTATTCTAACATCTTGCTGGCTTCTGTAGAATTTGTGATCACATAACTACTACTTTTTTAATGTAGAAAAATATTTCTTGGAAAGTCATGTTGTTTGATTGTGCAGTCTTCTGAAACAGACTTAATAGAGAAGGGCTGTTTGGTCTTCTTAAAATGTATCCTGTCCTGTAGGTCACAGTGTACTTAAACACATGGGATGTACGTACTTAAGAAGTAACAAGAACAAGGCCTTGGATATAATAAAGCTAAATGAATTGCCTGTAGGAGATAGCACTGGTATTAGAGAATTTGTTTCCAAAAAAGAAATTAATATAAAATTTGAACTGATTAGAATGTTCATTAAATCATGGTTTGGTTGTCACAGCTGTCAGCTAATATTTGGTTCAGCTCATATAATCCAAATATAATTTTCAACTTACTGTGTTGCCACTATTGTTAATTTGTTCCTTTCTTACTTTCATAAAGCTCTGTCATGTAGGACTGTAGATAATAGACAGCTAGTTAAATGCAGAGCATCATTTTTCTGAATGGGCTTGTTTTCAGAGACTTTGCACTGAAGAAGAAATACATAGAATTTTTTGGTTTATCTGCTTTTAAGAATGTATATTGTAATTTAAGAAATGGCCTGTATTCTACAGAGTGGTGTGAACAATGCTATATATATATGAAAAAATATGTATATTTGTTTTTTAGTGTCTGTGTTTTAGTGACTGAAGAACAGAGTGGAGCTAAAATGATTACAACAGTCCATTCATCATCACTAAAGCCATGTCATGATTTTCATTCTATTATGAAGAAAACAAGGAGCCCTGGTGGCACAGTGGTTAAATAACTTGGCTGATAACTGAAAGGTTTGCAGTTCAAACTCACCAGCCACTCCACAGGAGAAAAATATGGCAGTCTGCTTTCATAAAGACTACAGCCTTGGAAACCCTATGGGGCAGTTCTACTCTGTCTATAGGGTTGCTATGAGTTGGAATGGACTCAATGGCAAAGGGCGGAACATGAATAAAACAGTTTTATTTGGGTACTTTAATGTAATGCAATATTTTGGTTGTCTTAATCAAGGTGAAAAGTTGTTGAAGCTTGGAATATTATTTCAGAATTTAAAACTCCAAAGTTAAAATTAACAGAAGCTTACTAAATGTTCTTCAAGTGTATAGACTGAAGGAATTATTTGGTTCTAGCCAAGCTCTGGAGTCTGTTTGAGTGTGATATTTAACAAGAACTTGACATAGTGTGTGCACAGTGTCTAACAGGCTAAATTCAGTGATCACTCAAGCCAGCTAGGAGAGACAAAAGTGCTGGCAAGTAAGTATCAGCCTTGGGCACTGCATCATTTCTCCTTTTCTTTCATGAACAGTATCGTGGAAATGAATGCTTCCTCACTGAGTGTGTAGAGCAAAACTGGGATTTTCTAGAGCTTTTGGGAAAAGGAAAGAATTAGTGGGGCAAGATCAAAGCATATATTGTAGATAAACAGTAGAAATAAACAATAGAAAGGTCAATAAGGCAACAGGAAATGCTTTTCATGAAGGGCAAACCTATCACCCTAAAAGTAGGGAATAAACCGACTGAGTTTAAGTTGTTTACTTGTGTTGATTTGTTATTATGATGAGTAGATAGTGAGCCTATTGTTTTCCTTTATTAGTGATCATTGAAAAGAGGGTGAGTTTTAGGAGATGGGAAAAAGTACTCTTCTTACGGATTCAGTTCATGCTAGGATGTTGTGTCTTAGGATCATATGAGAACTTGGGAGGGGATATAGCAGAAATAAATAGGAATAAAATATAGATTGAAAAATAAAACCTCTTAAGAAACAGTTCAAGGAATTAAGATCATTTAACTGAAGAGGAGAAAGCTGTTGAGATAGTTTAATAAGTCTCATGTTATTAATTGAAGCTGTTATTGAAGAACCCAGAGTAAGAAGTAATATGACAAACTGTTATCCATCTCCAGTGAGGATGGAACAAGAAGGAATAGGGAATTAAAAAATAAATAAATAAAGTGGGGTAGGGGGGAGCATCATGAAAAGTTCACATTCAGATTTAAGAACTTCTTGAACAAGAATTGTCATAAAATCTTCTATCTGAAATATTTTTTTTTAATTATTTAATGGAATTAAATTTTTAAATATTAAGGGATATACTAAATGGCATTTTAAGTTTCCTTTTCAGTACTTTTTTGAAACTTTGAATGAAGATGCTATAAAGAGCACTGAAAGTAACATTTGAGTTTCACTCCGTATCTATAAGAATTTAGCTCACAAAATAGTTTTTGTATATTTTCAGTAGTGCAATGCATGAGTGCAATGAATAAAGTCTTGCTGGGATGTTATTTTTAATTTAACCTGGTGAATTAGGAGACTTGAACACAATTTTGTTCATCTTGAAGAATGTATAGCATTGTAGGACACTTGAGGTTTCTGTTTTAAATATAAAGTATTATTACTTGGATCTAGTAACTTCAGCAGACAGAGAGGCTCTAAGAAATTGGATACTTTGGAATATCTTCTTAAGCAGGTTGCTTCTGGAACTGATGCAACAAAGGTATTAGCTGGAGTTTACTGGAGAAATTGTAAAATGAACTGCTGCTATTGGTATTTCTATCAGATGTTTTCTTGATATTTGTGATGCTTGAAAAATCCAAATTCCACTTGGATACATTTAATTTTATGCCTTTTTCTCTCTACCTCCCTTTTTTCCTAGGCCCTCTCCCACATTTTGTTACTGTGAAAAGCTATTGTACTGTTACCTCACTGATAAGAAATCTTAACTGTATTCATTCAGAATGCTTTAAACTTATTCATAACTGTGTTTGTTTATGGACTGTTGGTTATTTTGTTATTGTCAGAATAGTTTAGACTTCTTGTGAGAAGTAATTTTAAATCTATTTCATAACCTATTTTGATCTGTTTGGCTACTTCTGTATATTAATTTATTATGGCCTTTTACAATTCATGTGTTTTCTGAGATTGCTCTAGAAACTGATGAAGAAAGAGTCACATTAATCAAAATGAATGGTCAGTTGATCTAGCATTTTATTTCAGGTTTCCTTATACCTTGGTCGTCCAAAGCACAAGATTTGAGGAAATTTTTGGCACGCTTATCATTCAAAACCGTAAGATGCCTGAATAAAAAGAAGACAATAGCTCAGTGTCAGATTTTATACAGCATACTTAGTTCTAGTTAGAAACAAAGTTAAAGGAAACTCTCTAGTGTTGACTATTAGTTACTTTAAAATATTCACCATACTGGTAGAATCATTAAGTCATCTTTCCTCTTCCCTGTTAATTCAAGACTATAGACTTTAAAGAAAGAACCTACCAGAATCAGTAAAGTGTCCAACGTGGGGCAAAGTAATGTATCTAGAGTTTGCTTCTCAGATTTTTCCACCAGCATAACCCTAAAGCAGAGGAGCATGAGTGTGGGGGGGAAGGGGGCCTGAGAGCAAAATCAAAAGCAGCCCACCACTAATACGAAATTTCATGTTATGTCTTTAAAATGTAAGTGAATTTTGCATTCTCCATAATAAAACTGTTTGTTTTCAAATAAAAATGATCTCTTTCAACCTTCACTAAAACTGGTGCTGCCAGAAAGGAGTACCATCGTTCTCACGTGGCCTCTCAATTTTCTCCCACAGCCTTCCCTCAACTCCGCCATTGCTACGTATTGCTGGGGGTATACAAACTGACTCCACCATGAGAAGTATAAACTTAGGATATTCCATGTCCTTTAGAAACTGACCTTCTAAAGTATTGGTGCCAAATTAAACAGATTAAACTGACCTGCAAGAATTACCTTACTGCAGAATTATGAACCTTATAATACAGTATAAGATATTGGCGAATTTGTTGTATTTAATTCATTGGTATTCCTTAACTAAGAAGGAGCACCTGACTATCAGTTCTTTGAGAGCAGGGATCACGGTTTATTATTTTTTCATATCCACATCACCTAGTTAAGTACCTAATATAGAGTGTTTAATTGATAAGAATGGGAATTAAGGGGTTTCATTTTAAAGCAAATAGTTTAGGAAACAATACAAAGTATTAGTCTAATATTCTAATTCAGCTTTTAAAATGATTCTCATTACTGAAATTCATAAGTGATGTTTATTAAGCACTCATACCCTTTAATACTCAGTTTCTTTGGAGAAACCATATTTTTATTTGGAAATTATATACGATGCCTAGATTTTACACTCAAAGTAAGATATTGGCCAAGAAAACTAAGAGAATTACTGTCACTCATATACATCCCATTTTTAGCCTAGTAACGCTACCTTCCAAGTGAACCACAATTAATTTGATACCGTTTGGTGTATTTTTATGCAATGTTATGAATAATCATATGTCTTACAAGATATAATAAAACTAGGTTCAAAAGTGATCTCAAGCAAGAGCCTGCACCCATAGATGGTGAGACCTTCTTGTTACTGGCTAGAATAAACTCTTTTTGTATATTATTGAACATGCCAGATGTCTTAGTTATCTAGTGTAACAGAAATATCACAGGTGGATGGCTTTAACATACAGAAGTTTATTCTCTCACAGTCTAGTAGGCTAGAAGTCCAAATTCAGGGTGCCACCTCCAGGGGAAGGCTTTCTCTGTCGGCTCTGGAGGAAGGTTCTTGTCATCAATCTTCGCCTGGACTAGGAGCTTCTCCGCACAGGAAAACCAGGTCCAAAGGACACACCCTGCTCCCAGTCCTGCTTTCTTGGTGGTATGAGGTCCCCACTCTTTGCTTGCTTCCCTTTCCTTTTATCTCTTGTAAGATAAAAGGTGGTGTAGGCCACACTCCAGGGAAAGTCCCTTTACATTGGATCAGGGATGTGACCTTAGTAAGGGTGTTACAATCCCACCCTAATCCTCTTTAACATAAAATTACAATCACAAAATGGAGGACAACCACACAATACTGGGAATCATGGCCTAACCAAGTTGACACATATTTTTGGGGGACACAATTCAATCCATAACACTAGATAAAGTGTATAGAGTTAAGAATGAGTTTTTTTTTTTAACTAAGTGTGTAGCAGTAGTTCAAAATTGTGCCCTTGTCTTAATTTCTGTCAACACCTTATTTTTCCCTTTGAAAACACCAGGGTGCATTATGAGTACTGCTTGTGGGAATTTTCACTTTAAGTATTTGTGGATTTCTTGTTTTGTTTTTCCATTTTGATTCGTAGTGACCCCATGTGACAAAGTAGAACTGCCCCAAAATGTTTTTAATTTTTTTCTTCTTGTGCTTTAGATGAAGGTTTACAGAGCAAATTAGTTCTTCATTAAACAATACACATACTGTTTTGTGACATTGGTTGCCAACCCCACGATGTGTCAACACTCTACCTTTCTCAACCTTAGGTTCCCCATTTCCGTTCATTCAGCTTTTCTGTTCCCTCCTGCCTTCTCATCCTTTTCCTTGGGCTGGTGTACCCATTTAGTCTTGCATCCGTGGTTGAGCTACGTGTATTATTGTTTGTTCTATGGATCTGTCTAATCTTTGGCTGAAGGAAGAGCCTCAGGAGTGACTTCAGTACTGAGTTAAAAGGGTGTCGGCGGGGGCGGGGGGAGGATTTCTTATGGTTGTAGCCAAATGAAGTGTTATCAGTAATAAACAGGTCTCTTCATAAGCACGGGTTTCCGTGTAATTTCTATTATCTTAGATACTGTGTACTTCATAAAATTTGCTATCCAAAGTAAACACGTTCTTGAAATATATGCATTGGCATACCCTAGAATCTACTTTGAGTCTGAATGAATATTCTAGCTTAGTGTTGTTTTTGTTGTTAGGTGCCGTCGAGTCAGTTCTGACTCATAGTGACCCTGTGTACAACAAAACGAAACACTGCCCGACCTTGTGCCATCCTCATAATCGTTATGCTTGAGCCCATCATTGCAGCCACTGTGTCTGTCCATCTTTGTTGAGAGTCTTCCTCTTTTTCACTGGCTGTCCACCTTACGAAGCATGATGTCCTTCTCCAAGGACTGATCCCTCCTGATAACGTGTCCAAAGTATGTGAAACGTAGTCTCACCATCCTTGCTTCTAAGGAGCATTCTGGTTGTACTTCTTCCAAGACAGATTTCTTCATCCTTTTGTCAGTCCATAGTATATTCAATATTCTTTGCCAACACCACAATTCAAAGGCATCAGTTCTTCTTTGTCTTCCTTAGTCATCATCCAGCTTTCCCATGCATATGAGGCAATTGAAAACACCATGGCTTGAGTCAGGCGCACCTTAGTCTTCAAGGTGACATCTTTGCTTTTCAACACTTTAAAGAGGTCTTTTGCAGGAGGTTTGCCCAATGCAATGCGTCTTTTGATTTCTTGACTGCTGCTTCCATGGGTGTTGATTGTGGATCCAAGTAAACTGAAATCCTTGACAACTTCAATCTTTTCTCCATTTATCATGATGTTGCTTCTTGGTCCAGTTGTGAGGATTTTTGTTTTCTTTACATTGAGATGTAATCCATACTGAAGGCTGTGGTCTTTGATCTTCATCAGTAAGTGCTCCAAGTCTTCTTCACTTTCTGCAAGCAAGATCATGTCATCTTCATGACAGAGGTTGTTAATGAGTCTTCTTCCATTCCTGATGCCCTGTTTTTCTTCATATAGTCCAGCTTCTTGGATTATTTGCTCAGCATACAGATTGAATAGGTCTGATGAAAGGATACAACCCTGATGCACACCTTTCCTGACTTTAAACCACGCAGTATCCCCTTGTTCTGTTCGAACAACTGCCTCTTGACCTATGTACAGGTTCCTCATGAGCACAAGTAAGTGTTCTGGAATTCCCCTTCTTTGCAATGTTATGCAGAATTTATTATGATCCACACAGTCAAATGCCTTTGCGTAGTCAATAAAACACAGGTAAACATCTTTCTGGTATTCTCTGCTTTCAGCCAGGATCCATCTGACATCAGCAATGATATCCCTGGTTCCACGTCCTCTTCTGAATCCAGCTTGAATTTCTGGCAGTTCCCTGTCAATATACTGCTGCAGCAGCTTTTGAATGATCTTCAGCAAAATTTTACTTGCGTGTGATATTAATTATATTGTTTGGTAATTTCCGCATTCGGTGGGATCACCTTTCTCGCGAATAGGCACAAATATGGATCTCTTCCAGTTGGTTGGCCAAACAGCTGTCTTCCAAATTTCTTGGCATAGACAATTGAGTACTTCCAGTGCTGCATCTGTTTGTTGAAACATCTCAGTTGGTATTCTGTCAATTCCTGGAGCCTTGTTTTTCGTCAATACCTTCAGTGCAGCTTGGACTTCTTTCTTCATTACCATTGGTTCCTACTCGTATGGTACCTCCTGAAATGGTTGAACATTGACCAGTTCTTTTTGGTGTAGTGACTGTGTATTTCTTCCATCTTCTTTTGATGCTTCCTGCATCACTTAGTATTTTCCCTGAGGAATCCTTCAATACTGAAACTCGAGGCTTGAATTTTTTCTTCAGTTCTTTCAGCTTGAGAAATGCCAAGGGTGTTCTTCCCTTTTGGTTTTCTAACTCCAGGTCTTTGAACATGTTCTTATAATACTTTACTTTGTCTTCTCAAGCTGCCCTTTGAAATCTTCTGTTCAGCTCTTCTACTTCTTCATTTCTTCCATTCACTTTAGCTACTCGACTTTCAAGAGCAAGTTTCAGAGTCTCTTCTGATATACATTTTGGTCTTCCTTTCTTGTCTTTTAATGACCTT